CCCGCCGCGACTGTGGATAGAATCAGAAATCTATTCCCATCGGTTAACAAGGAACGCGCACGCTCTAACGTACATCCGCCGTTGGTTCTAGCCGCCTGTGAACTTTGATACCGCGAGCGATATATAATTATACCGGTTGGGAAATCGATGCTTTTGTAAAAATTATAGGAGTGACGTTCGATTCAGCTACGTTCGCTCTAGGGAAGTCTATGAGATCTTAGTTTACGACGTGACGCATTTCTTACGAGCTACTTAAAAAGCTATCGAAAAGTTGAAAAAAAAAGTTAACATCGGCGACATTTAACGTACGATTGAATCATCTTGTTGCAACAACACGAGAGAGTATAACGATTATACGTCACTGAATGGCGCCATTCGCCAGCGAACCTTTATCGTAACTTCCCGAAGATACAGCGGCGATAACACCGTTAATAGAACGCAGAGATTCACTGGAATCCGACCTTCGACGATGGTTTCAATATTTTTTTCTCGCTAGAAATACACCGCTACGCGGGATGACGAAGATGTTATCCATGAAAACAGCTGAGCGCAGCCACGTGCCTGCAGCTACGAGTATTCAAATTTATTCAATCTCTCTCCGATTTGTTCTCGCTCTTTCAGTCACGGACAAATTGGAATAGATTCCGTCCTATGCGTAGAAATTAAGAATATAATATTATTCTGGCAATTAAACCATCGTCTTTCTCGGTCGATCGACGTCGAGATTTCTCAGAACCGCGAGAAAAAAGGAAATTTATCGGACAAAAGATAGGAATCGCGATGGTATCCTCGTAACATTCTCGCAGGAATCCTGCGGATCAAGGATCCTAGGATTATGGAAGTAGATGTAGTTTCACGCGTAGGCGCCACGTTCCACGGTATCGTCTACCGCTATCGAGTAATTTACTGTCAGGATGCAGTTTACGCCCCGTAATTTATCCGCCCCCAATCTCAACCTCGGCGTCAAGGGCTCGGTTAGAAATATTACCGAGATTACGTTTGGGTGGCGCAGGGTGCGGCTTGAGGAAACCTCTCGAGTCGGTACTCTTGTAAAAAAGAGTATGAAT